ATTTATTGTAGAGATGAGGTCTCGCTGCCCAGGCGGGTCTCGAACCTGCGGGCTCAGGCAATCCACTCACCTCAGCCTCCCAAAGGCGCGGGATTACAGACTGAGCCACCAAGTCCGACTCCCAGCAACTTCTATTTTACCCAAAGTTCCTGGAAAACAAGTTACTCTGCCCTCAAAAAGATAATTACTTCCTACAGTAGTTCTGAACATTTTTTATGCCAGGCCTTATGTTATAGCCAAATCGTGTTCTTATACCCACTGCCCAGAAAAAACAAAACTAATGCAGCCATTACAATGGAGAAAGAGTTTGGTATCATAAACCAGCTAAGTGAGAAGGGTGGGAGAAATCATTCAAATCCACCTCCTGGAAGATTCAGAGGATAACGTTTTTAAAGGGAACCTGGTGGGCAGAGGGATGGGGGTGTTGACTGGTTGATGACATCATTGGGGGAAGTTGAGACTGTCTTTCTGGCATCCTGTGAGTGGCAGAGGACACTGGTGCTCTGGGCCTGGGTAGGAGTTTGGGTCAGCCAAAGTACAAAACCTGAAAAAGGCCTGGTGCAGTGACTCACACCTATAATCCCAGCACTTTGGGAGGTGGAGACGAGAGGATTGCCTGAGCTCAGGGGTTCGAGATGAGCCTGAGCAACATGGCAAGATCTTGTCTCTACAACAAATAAATCAGCCCAGCATTGTGGTTCACACCTATGGTTCCAGCTACTTGGAAGGCTGAGGCTGAAGGATTGCTTGAGCCCAGCAGTTCGAGGCTGCAGTGGCCGTGAGCATGTCACTGCACTGCAGACTGGGCGACAGAGTGAGACTCCTACTCAAAAAAAAAAAAGCAAACCCAGAAAAGATCTGAAATCATTCTCAGTTTTTCTCATAGATGCTGTCCATACAACAATAACCCTGACCATCAGGGACTAACTTCCAGTCCTGAGCCATTATGGAGGTAGTCCAGGAAGAAAATATGGTAGGAGATAAGGTCCCTAGAGATTGAAACAGCTTGTCTTTGAATGGCTTCTTGTCTCCTCAAGCAGTCTTATGTTGATTGGCTTTGCAGGGCAGCTTCCCTTCCACCAGGGGTCAGGGTATGAGGTTAATTGTAAGTAAACTTGGAAGCAACATATTCCTTAATTTCTTTTTTTTTTTTCTTTTTAGTTGGGGTTTCACTCTGTCGATTAGACACAATCATGGTTCACCCCAGCTTCAACTTCCTGGGCTCAGGCCTTAGCCTCCTGAGTAGCTGGGACTACAGGCATGCACCATCACACCTTAATTATTAAAATTTTTTTGTAGAGATGAGATCTCACTATGTTACTTAGACTGGTCTTAAACTCTAAGCTGGGTTTGGTGGCTCAGCCTATAATCCCAGCACTTTGGGAGACTGAGGCGAGTGGATTGCCTGAGCTGGCAAGTTTGAGACCAGTCCCGACAACTTGGCAAGACCTTGTCTCTACAATAAAAAAAATTAGCTAGGCAGGTAGCGCATGCCTGTAGTTCCAGCTACTTGAAAGGCTGAGGCGGAAGTATCGCCAGAGCCCAACAGGTTGACTCTGGGGTGGCCATGAGTGTGCCTCTGCACTCCAGCCTGGGAGACAGATGAGACTCCAACTCAAAAACAAAACAAAACAAAAAACAACTCCTAGGCTCAAGCCATCCTCCCACCTCCCCCTAAATTGCTGGGATTACAGGTGTGAGTTAGCACCTGGCCATATTTGTAATTTCTAAAACATAGCTGCAGCTTTTACTCCATGATATGATATTAATTTTATATAGGCTGTTTCATTCAGGTCAAAACTCTTAATTAAATCAGCCATTTTCAGACAGCCTAGAACAGAGTACTTCCTCACTATGGCTGGGATCCATCGTCAAATAGATTTCCTGAGTAAAACTTTGTTCCCTCTGTAAATATTTAGCTAGAACCTAAAATATTAATGTTCTCCAAAGAAAAAGCAAATTGCTAGGGCCTCAGATTGTCTTGGGATGACAGAGCTTTTTTAGTAATCATCTACAATCAGGTATACTGGATTCTCAAGGCCTCCCCTTGTTTGCATGACTCACTGGTCTTTGCTGCTATATTAAAC